TGGTATTCGTTTTTCGCCATTGTTATGGCGTTGAACAGTGTTGCAGTCAGTCGCTTTTCTCAGACGTGGGAGGTAAGCGAGAAATGATTGATTAGATCGGTTAAAATATGAGATCATTTATATTGTTTTGAGTTAATTTTCTCGTTGAAATAATTGACTGTTATGTTTTAATATTAATATATTAAACCGAAATGTGTTTGAGCCTCATTACACCAAGAAAAACATATCGTGAATTTGTGTCTATTGTTAGCGAGGTTCCACTCTGAAAATATTTGCATAATTGCTAAATTATTTTCTTTAACTGTACTCTAGATATTCTAGATATTCTAGTCTTCTCGGATAGGGACGAATAAATATAGGTCCCGTTTCCTACCATAAGTTATGCAACGACGTTAATTTCCCACACACGAGATTACTGTGTGATGGACGTCCTCCCATGGGGTGGGATGGGTGGGAAGGTGCGATCGATGGACTGAAACAGCTGCCAGAGGCGCCTGATGTGCTGATGTCTGTTCCCAACCTTAAACTGTACCCGTAATTTAGCCTCAGGCTGCAAGCGGTCATAAATCAACTATATTACATAACTTTATTACAACTATATTACATATTACTCTTTTTTATTGTGTCTTCAGAAATTACCGAGCAAGTTTCGTAAAATATGTGAGGAGTTTGAAGGTATTTTGGTAAGGAAAATTAATTTCATTACTTCTTTGTAGAACTCGCTTTTTAATTCGAATATCAAAAAAACAACATTTAGTAGTAGTCGACATTTCAGTAGTCAAGTACGACAGTAAAATGTTTCCTCCGTTGAAGTTAAATATAACGCATGAACATGTTTCTTCAATAGGAGCCTTCCAGAAACCATCGAGTTTACAGGCTTTTAGCTGGTAAGTTTCGTATAAGTTATGCAACTTTTTTCAATGCGATAGGCAGGGTTGTAGCCGGAATTTTTCAAACATGGGGTCACACTGTGTCAAACAGAGGGTCCTCGCCAGATTGTCATGTCGACATCCACGGCGTGGTTTACTCAATGGCTTGATGTGACAGAAAAGGCTCACGGGAGGGGTATCTCAATCTCCGTTGTTGTAAGCGTAACACTAAAAGTAACTCCCCCGCGGATGGGATGCCGGTCCATTACAGGTTACCCCCGCACATTTTGTCACGTGACCCTGAAAATACACCAGTACCAATTTATACTCTCAAGTGAAGAGACGCACTGCTAGAGAAAAGTGTTTTGCTGAAGGCACTCGCCATAATTTCCTGGCCAAGTCTGGAACCCAGACCTCTCGCGTCCAGCACGCTAATCGTAAGGCCACCACGTTTCACAATACAGAAAGGCGTTCAAATTTTATTGAATTCTCTTTGTAGGAAAAATGAAGCCACCCATATTGCCATTTATGCCTCTCTTGATAAAAGGTATGATCATTCACAAAGTTTAACTATATTTTGTTGATGTTCAGTTTCCCTGCTGTAACAAAAATCTACTTTGTACCTTTGTCTGTCTGTTATGTGTACTTCAAGATGTAATAATCTCGAATCAAATCTTGGAACAACAGAGTTAGGTATGTGTTTTCATTTTTAGACATGACATTTACGAACGTGGGCAACAAAACGCAATTTGATGATCTGGTGAACTTTGAGAAAATGGTGAGCAGTTTTGTTTGTTGTTATTAGTTTGTTTGTTGGTGTTGTTGTTGTTGTTGTTTTTTTTTTCGGTCCATGGATGTGGTTTAAGTAATTTAAACGCCTTATATAATCTTCATTCTCGTCATCAAATTAACAAATAGATCCCATGATGCAGTGCGTGTCTGTTCATTGATAGATCACTGTTGTTGACATCCAAATGTAGTTAAAAAAAAAAAAAGTGCCACACGCGGTGTAGCTGGGTGTGTCGCTGATATTCTTACCACATTTTGACGTCATCTGAGACCTCTTACTGGACAGACCCACAGAAACGTAGTCTCCTTCGCAGCCGTCTTTCGGGATGTCACGCAACGCCCTACTCTTTCGGGGGAGCGTTGCGTGACATCCGAAAGACGACTGTGAAGGAGACTAACAGAAACGTGGAATCTATTTGTTTATTGATTGATTTGATGGAGTGAATGGTGATGTCATCTATGCGTCTGTCCTCCAGTAGATCACAAGTAAAAACCAATCAAAATGTGTGAATGATTCAACTCATTATATAAACGTCTCGCTGCGTATTGGGAAAGGGTGGCCTAGTTTTAATTTTTTTTTCCTCGAATGTGCATATCATTCCATGTGTTTTCCTCTTTGTTTCAGAGAGCGATTTCTTCTACTATTCGTCTCATCCAGTACTGTCGCAGCGAGCCGTTCAGTAAGTATAGTTTAAATCAAGATGCGTGACTGACTACAGTGGCGAACTAAACCTTACAGCCAATCAGAGCGTAAGAAATGGACCCATCAGACTGCACCATTTTCATCCAAAATAGCAACGCGATTTGTCACACAGTCTTATCACTTTGATAGGTTACGCGGTATACGCTGAATCGAAATATGGCGTCCAATTTGAATTTCCATTGTTCTGGACTCACCAGCCTCACACATGTGATCATCCTTTTGTGTTTCCACGTGAAGACGAGGCTGGTGAGTCCAGAACAAAGGCAATTCAAATTGGACGCCATATTTCGATTCGGAGTATAGTTTGCTCCATTACTACTGACTATAGCTAAAGTTGGATAACAGCGAGCTGGATTTGAATTGTGTTGCGTCTATGAGTCAATCTGGGGAAACTATCCTGTGAACGACCACACCCGTGGTTCTCCCGTACTTCAAACATAAAGATAGGGACTTTAAGCAAACCACGACGGCTACGGCAACGAGAACGTGGAAAAACAATAGATCTAATTGGCAGACCAATAGCCCAACACGTGCGTTTTAAAACTTTGTACATTTCTTAGCCGTCCTTTGCAAAACAACAACGGGAAATCACCCAAATTTGCGTCGACTGCGAACCGAAACCTCGGCGGCAAATTATTTTAATTTACATTTAGAACTCAACGCTACTTTTATGCGTTAAGTTGAGTTTGAGGTCTGGCGCCCTATGAGACGGTAAACACATGTAGTCATGTTCGAAATTCTAACTAAAAGAAGAAACTCATTTTTTAATCGACGTCTTCCGTGCCGTTGCCGCACTGACTGCTTAAAGTCCCTATTAAATGTTGATGGCGGCGGTTACACGACGTCTGTTCATAATCTTATTTCTAACAAATTCACGAAATCGTTACTCCATTGTTATTTAATCAGAGGCTGAACCTCCAACCCAAGTGAAAATAGCTCAGGAAATCACCAACTTTGTGAGGTATGATCGATGTGTCTCATGATACAAAATCCTGAGCCAATGGATTTAAACCGCCCATGATGAAATAATCTTTGAATTGGAAAGTTCTTAAGTTTTTCCATTCCTTATTTTTCTTCTTCTGCATCATATTTCTAGTAACACTTCATTAGGATTCATTTGCGCAAGCCAGATGTTTGATCCATTGTTGAAGTACATCAACAGCAAGGTCACGTGTTCGGCACGAGGCTACCTTGTATGATTGACGTAACAACTAACTAGATTCATGATTTGTCTAATGTAGTGCAACTATACAGACTTTCCCAATTTTTTTCCTAATCTTACACGGCATTCGTCTCTCTCCACAGGAATTTCAATGTGATCGACAACGAGCGCACTCTTAACCAGCTCTCTCATAGATTGGAGCCCAAAAAAAATTAAATAACCGTCGTTAGTCATTTCACGACGTTTTCGCTGCTTTCCTTGAATCTCCCAGCCAATCACGTTTGTTTATGTGGACAGTGGTTCGTCCGCTTGGTGACAATACCCCGATAAAGTTTTCCCGTGTGTGTCCACAGAGCGAGCCATGTGGCAAATTTCTACTCTTGGCTATCACTTGCTGGTGAATTTTAAACTTTCCCAGTGAAACTCCTTTTTAAAAGTTGACACTGAGGGTTCTCTACAGATTGTTCAAACACTGAATGATGAATTTCTAATGCCCTTTCAAATTTAAAATGACCAGAAGATATTTAAAGTTTTATGATTATTTTAACTTCAGAAATAAATGAATTTATTGTTAATGGTATTACGAGTTTATTTGTTATATGAAGCTGTACGAAGTCCTCGCCCTGGCAAAATACCCACGACTTGCAACTTGATTCCTCGCAGATCATTGCGTTTGCATCATCGGATGCCAAATATCCCGGATTATCCGGGACTCTCCCGAATACGCAGTAAATCAAAACAACTTGCTAAGTTGCTTTAATATAAGCGAGTTCAGACACTTCTCTATAAAGAGGGGACTTGTATTTTTGTGAACTTTTTCGTTTTCTTATAAGCATCTTGCTTGTAACGTCTTTTTTTCTTGAAGAAACTGGAACGAGCTGCAGATCGAGGAGGAGGAAGGCTGGGGAGAGACTGTGGACCGGACGAAATATTTCACCTCGGGCCTTTCAAACGATTTGAATCATGAAGATGAATTTATCATTAAGACTATCTGCGATTTACATTAATGTTTCATGTATTACGGGGAACATGCGAGCTAAAATTAAAAATTGGGCTTAAAAACCGAAAAAAGGTTTCACTTTTGAATCCTCATTGGTCAATTTCTGACACTATTCGCTAACTAGTAAATACACCCAAACTGCCTACAAATGAGTCTTACCACATCTTGCATTAACCATTACTTTGGTATTTTTTTGTTATTTGCATCAGTAAAAAGGGAATAATCTGTGAACTTACATTGCGGTGCCTTTAAAGATATTTATCACAGAGAGAAAATCGTAACATTTTTGCACACTATTCAACTGAAACGATATCAATTTAAAACAATATTTTTAATGATATCTGATATATGACTAAATCAAAATGTAAATCTCTCTAAGCCGAAAATGTAGCCACGAGCTTTTGACTCTGACTCTTAATTTGCTATTTGACTGTGCGAACAAAGCAAACGCGGTTTTGATTGTAAACGTTATCTATTAATTATTAATTAAATTCAACTGATGGAAGGATTTATTCAGGTACTGAGATTTTTGAGGGTCCTAACAGTATAAAAAATTTCAACACAAGACTCACAGAGGTAAGTGAAGAATAAATCACTGGGATAAATACGTTGTTTTCACGTGAGGTTTTCTTAGAGTCCACTGAATCTGTGACGAATAGGTATTTAAATAGATTTCGTAAAACTCGCAGCAAATGTACATTTTTACGTTTTTAAACACAGAAAAGCATGAAATTCTTGAGAAAAACCGTCTTTTGTCATGCATAGATATAGAATATAGTGACATTTCAATCAACGTCGAGAATATGATTTTGCATGTATGCCTCAGTGTGGATGAAAATAGATTTTTATCGCAATTGAACGCGAAGTTTTGTTGAGAAACTGATTTTGCTAGAAGATTGATGTGGTGGAAAACCTCGTGGGGAATTTGCCGAACACGATAGAGACGTTCAGGTGCATGAACGGAGAGATAAAAATGAGTTTTAAAATTTTCATAGTTTTAGGCACGAGATGTTTAATCAATCTAAAAATACAAGGTTATGTAAAATAATGTCAACATTGGAGTACATGCGCAAACATTGCTTTATGAAAATGTTTTCTGTCTCACCCAGGCATCTCCTTTCGTCTGCCTTCCAATGAGATACAGATAATTTTCGATGTTTGACTCACACAGAGGGAGACAAGCATCAGGGAATATTTTATCGCGCTGAATGATTTTCCAGACAACTGACTCAAATTTGTGATTCTCATCATAGTACTATACTCCTTTGTCTAACAGCTCTGTTAAATAATCATAAAGACATGCCTTGAAGACAAATCTTTATTTCATTTCCTCAGTTTATAAGCGCCACAGTCAAGAGTCACACGATGTACATAGGATTCCTGTGCATCACTTTAGCGTTGGTGTTACTGTGCGAAGTTTCCTCCAAAAAAGACTTTCGTGGAGAAACACAAAAGGAAAAAAAAGTACATTTGAAGGACATTTTTGGTGGAAGAATGAAGAGGTATGAGAGTTCTGTGGAGCTGAGTGTAAAAGATAGTAAATCTTAATTATTTATAGTGACCTGACCGGAGGGGGGTGGGACACAAATAAAATAGTAAGGGCATGGCAAGACCCCGGGTTATTTTCTCTAACCTGGGTTGAAACACCACACGGGGTCTGAAGCCTTTTGAAGTCAAATAGGCCGTGTCACAACCCCCTTCCCCACCCCCAGACGAATTAAGATTTACGAAATGACGATGAACTGATTCTGTTCCTTGTTGTTTACAGACAGTTAGAAGAGCTTTGTCAACAGTCAACTGCAGGTTGCATCATTCAATCTGAATTCTCCGAAAATAGTGCGCCAAATAAAAAGAAGAGAAAGAAGAGCAAGAAGGAAAGAAAAAAGAGTAAGAAAGGAAAGAAATACAAAAGGCAGATGTCAACTTCAGGCGAAATAGATCAAGAAATGGATGAAAGCTGTCCTTATCTGGATCCATTAACAGACGATGAAGATCATGAAGAAGATGATGGTAGCGAGTGTCCGAAAACTCAGCAAATAATCAGCGATTAAGGCATTATCTTCAATTCCTCATTCAGGCTTCTTTTTCCGCAGTTTTTTTTTTTCAATTGCAGCCTTACTTATGAGGATAAATTCGGTATACACTTCGTGAAGTTTATACCAAATTAAAAAATTAAAGTGTAATAAAATGTTATCAATGATTTCAATTAAATGTCACCCATAATCTAGATTTGACTTGGTTTTGCTTCTATTCCCTTTGTGACTCATCGAGAAAACTTGCGCGCCCTCTTTTGAGACCTATTTTGCATTGCTCGAGGCCCCATAATTTCCCGCGGGCGAAGGAATGATCTTATCGAAGCACTAATCATAAGGGCTTGCTTTTTTTCGGACTTAAAAAAGCTTTCAGCTTTATATGACAGCCCCACAAAAAAAGTCTTTTCTCTGGTCAGCGGCTTATCAAAACAAAGTAAAAGAAAATGTCCTCGTTGCTTGGTAACCGTTTGCGAAACTAGAGGAGCAAAATGGCGGCTGCCACTGCACGCCAAATTCCAGTCGTTAATAACGTTATAACCGATGAAGACTTAAACAATTTTCGCACTGAGGGAAAGGTAAGTATGTTTGAGAGGCAAAAAAATCGGAAAACTTGAAAACGTTGCAATGCAAGTTGTTATTTTTGCAGCAGTCTGGCCGACTTGTCCCAGTTAGTGTCGTCAAGACACACAAACTTCTCACAGACAAGCACTCGGTGAGTCCTCGTCCATTCCTCCAGTGTTCTAGAGATGTATATGCGTCAAGAAGTACTTAAGTTTTTATAGCTTTGGACTGTTAAATGTTTGGGTATTTAAAATAACTCTTGTACATGTTAACACAATGTTCGAGCTTATCTTGATCTGCGTGCAAAGAATTATGTGTAATTACATTTGATTTTAGAGAGAACTGGTGGATCGCCATGTGAGAGCAATCCATCGTCTCACCAAATACTACTGTCATGGATTTGTATCCTTTATTGCAAAATTAGTGAACTAATCACTTGCACACTTTAAAATTTCTCACAGCGATCGCAACTATTATCAAGGTTGCATACCCCATGTCGTTCCATGGTATACAGTCTTGATGTCAGTGCTCTTTGCACAAAATTATTATGTATGATGTGGCTCAATTTAATCGTTTTTCACATTTTAGTTGGGTATTCTAATGTGTGGTAATGATCTAATTTTGAAATATATATACCCTATATAGAGAGAGTTTGTTTTGCACATTCTGCTTTTTTTCAAAAGGGAATTAGGTGCCCTGTCCTTTACACACACCGGGTCCCTAATGAGCACTCTTCCAAGAGGTACCATAAGTAAATAAGGGGACTGTGTGCAAAATCAACTCATAATGGTATAAGTCCTTTTCTACCCTCTGAAAACCATGTACTGTTTTGGTGCCACTTTGTCCTCCCCCCCCCTCCCTCCCACATTCCATTCCAGATAGTTTCCATTTCCTGTTACAGAAGAGCCGGAAGAGATATGAAACCTTTTGGTTTTAAAGGTGACAATAACAACAATTGAGTTTCAAAGTAAGGTCTTACTGATAGAGGACACACCTGGAAAGTGGGCCAATTATAAAATGTTATACCTGCTAATTCACCCACAAGATGACTTGTGGTTATTGAACTTAACATTATCCAACAATAGCTTATGAAGGATGTTGACTTGGTGTGTGATATGCTCACAGTCTGTAGAGAAAGGCTTGAGACAAACCTGCAGTATGAGAAACCTCTTTGCGACTTAATTAAAGTTTGTGGGTGAGTAATTGTTCTTGGTTTAAGGTCTATGAATTTGTATGTCTAAGAGTGCGATGCATTGAACCCTACTGAGCTCGATCTTGAACCTCTTAATCTGGTATAAATTCAGCTAACCACCTGGGCCCACTGGTAGAATGGGTGGATAACACTATGCAACAGATAAATTGCTATCCAGCGGACAAGTGATAGCAAATCATACTGTGCTATCCACCAGATAAGGATTTATCCACTAGATAACGTTATCAAACCTGCGAACAACCGGGGCCAAATTGACACTTCTCCCAATTGAAAATATCAAAACTCCGTCCATTGATATGAAGGTTCATGTGCTTCAACAAAAGGTCAGCCATAAGCTCTTAATTTTTTTTCTAATGCATGATTTTTTTGCATCTTAATCAATTTGCAGCATGCCGTTTTTGAAGGAAAGATCTTCAGATGACTCTTTGCATGCTGGTCCAATTATAAACCTTCTCACTGAGCTAGGTAAAAGTCTGTATAACAATAGAGAGTGTATAAGCAAGATGTTTGCAGCCACTGCAAAAAACAATGATATATAGGTCTGATATTGCTCACCTTTCTAATAATCTCTACATAGTTTTTATAGAAAAAAGTAGCTATTGTAAAATGATAAAGATGCGATGATGAAAGATTATGGGAATTATTTTCAATTTAGGGTACAAACAGCTGAAAGGTTAAAGTGCACCTAGACCCAAAAATTTTTTTTTTGCTTAACGAAATAACCTTATTTTTTGGGATTATTTCTGTGCAAAACTTTTTTTTAATTTGCTCAAATCTTTAATTTTCTGTGCCCAGTCAAAATATGGAAAATCGGCTGCCATCTAGCCCCAAGACCGAGTTTAAAAAGGAATGCTCTAGCCGGTAATGTGACGTCAAATCGAGAACACGAAAGTCTGCATTTCACACATTTTCACTTGTTTAGGAAGATTGCCATCGATATTGTCCAAAATGTGCCGACTAGGTGTGTTGTATGAGGAATGTATTACGCGCGATACCCTCTTGCAAATTTCGCACATTGCTTCATCCTCCTACAACACACTTCGTCGGCATATTTTCGGAAAATATTGACTACAACATTCCCAAACAAGTGAAAATGTGTGAAATGCAGACTTTTGTGTTCTCGATTTGACGTCACATTACCTGCTAGAGCCATTCCTCTTTAAACTCGGTCGTGGGGCAAGATGGCGGCCGATTTTCCGTATTTTGACTGGGCACAGAAAATTGAAGAATGGAGAAAAAAAAAATTTTGCACAGAAATACTCCAAAAAATACGCTTATTTCGTTGAGCAAAAAAATTTTTGGGTTTAGGTGCACTTTAAGGCAGTAAGTTGCCACTTTCCATTTGCTGCAGACATCCTGCTTACCCTCTGTTATTCACTTAATAACTCTAGAATTCAAATATGAAATATAAAAAAAAAGAGGAATAATTAGTTATCAATTTTTTGATTTAATCCTGTTTGATTTCAGGGCACACAATGAAAATAAACAATGTTACTGCACAACTTCAGTTGGGAGAATCATTGTTGAGGTTTTACACTGACCAGTCATTCGAGAACCAAAGCTTTGAAGGTAATATTTAAAATCTATTACATTTTTTAATATATATGCTATTTGAAAAACAGATTCCACACTGCTGTGCTTTATATATCACAAGATGATGTCAAAATGTGATAAAGACAAGAAAATGGCGCATGAGGGGCTGCAGAGTTTGTAACTGATCTACAGCCTACTAAATTTATTGTTATACATTTTTTGTAATTATTTCTGCAAATGTACAACAACTATTTTTGATCAATATTTGAATAGGTTACCAAGCATCCTCACTGTCTCACAACATAACTTTGGTGGAGAGAAGTGGAGTGGCCAGAGCACTTGTTGAGGTCAAAAGCATTTTATAAGTCTCTATTTTTTCCATAAAAATATTTATATCATTAGAGGCAGTTCTCAATGACCTAGTTAATGTTACAAAAATTTTCAATAACATTTTTGTTACATTCACAGAGTTTGGAACAAGTTGAAGACTTGATCGTGCGACTTGAAATCATGAAAGTGCTGCAGTGTTACTCAACATCGGGTAATTATGTTTTTTTTTTCTTTTTCAATATAATTATAACATAATGATAAGTTATCTGTCATAATGATAAGTTATCTGTCCATTGTAATGTTATCCCTTTAATCCCTAAGAGTGACCAGCATGTAATTTCTCCTTACAGTATCGCAGCTGAAACAAACCGTAAGGTCATCAGAATAACACAAATGATCACCAACTAAAACAGCCTTTGATTTTCAAACAAATTCTCCTTGTCAATAGCATAGCTAATGGATAGGAAGCAGGATGGAGAATATGCATACTGATGTAAGAGTGGAGTGTAAAGGGTTGAATAACTGAATGGCCATTTGAATATTTTGGTTGTATCCATTGAGTTGATGAAAGTAACTTGGTTACTTAAGCTGATGTTCACCCTTCTTCAGAGCAATATAATTAGTTGTTTCTCAAAAGTATGACATTATTTAGTAAAAATGAAATTTTCTCTTTTTTTTTTGTAGCACTGAATTGTGATGATATGCTGTCAGTTGGTGCAGCTGGTTTGTTGTGCAGTGGAATTAATATCCCAGACCCATCTGATGGGTAATATGACTGTGTTTTAATAACTTTTTGTAAAGATAATTGTTACTAAATGATGTTTGGTTTGTCTTCTTTAATTGTTACAAACCTTTGAACAAACTTTTTTTCCAAAAATTTTTATCTTGGCTTATTCAATGTTCTCTGTTCTTGCAGGGTTGTTTTTCGAACTGTTGAAATTCTCTGGAATTTACTAGAATTTGGCTCTAAACAGGAGGTAAGTTGATATGAAGTTAATTAACCAAAATTGGGCTGGTGGTTATCAGGTTTACATGTATAATTACGATACATGGATAATTATGAAGCTGTATTCACATCAGTCATCAATAACCAAAGCTCCTGTCCACTCCAGGCTGTTACATGTATATTCCCTTATTGATTTCCACCCTTCTCACACAGAAGTAACATGCAGGTAGTGAGAGAGAGAGAGAGAGAGAGAGAGAGAGAGAGACTTTATTTCAAGAGGGTAGCACGTGACAGTAGCTAAACTGATAATCCTGTAGCCCTCTATTAACCCACCCATCCCATCCCAGGGAAGGACATCCATCGCACAGTAATCTCATGTGTGGGAAATTAACGTCTCCTACCCCAACCCTGCAGGAGATGGGACCTCCATTTATTTGTCCCTATCCAAGAAGACTGGAATATCTAACCATTTCTTGATGTCATAGAAAGGTAGCAAATTCTTCTCAATTATTTTAAGACCCTGAGTGTTGGTCCAGCTGGGGCTCGAACCCTTGACCTCCCACACAACAGTCCAGCGCTCTATCCATTGAGCTAACCGGGAGGCAGTTAGCTCAATGGATAGAGTGCAGTTATTGATGCTATAATAATTGAATATATATTTCTTTTTTAGGTTGTGCGCCAGCTTAATTGTAAGGAGTGCGTGAGGTATGTTTGAACATGTTACACAACATATGTAGGTTACTTAAGTATGAGAGTTACTGTGCACAGGATGTTAACATAATTCCAACTCAAAGTTACCCTGACAGTAGAAGGTACATCAATATACTTAATTTAATAGCTAGATTGTTATATACTGTGGCTAAAATTTCTTTGTAATTGCATGCATTGGTTTTGTCTGTATTGTTGTTTGTCCCATGAGTATTATGTAGGGACTCTAAATTCAACTTTGTATAATGATGACAAAATATTTTAACTGAAAATGAAAGCAGTTACTGTGAAAACATGTCTTTTAAAAATGTCATTTATTTGCCCAAATAGCTAGATTATTTTTATTTGTTTGACCTTCCATGTTTGAAATGTTGTAGTGCATTGAGAGATGCCTTTGTGAGGCAGATCAAGGAGGGCTATAGTCTTGCTGATAAACAGCTGAGGTAAACAGACCTGTCTCATTAGTCTACATGTATGTGCATTTTTGAAAATGTTAAATGTAAAGTCAGGATACTAGCCAGATCACTCATCTACCCAGAGCTTATTGTGGTTAAATTCCATAGTATAGAAAATTATGGAGTTGAATAACCACATGTCTATCCAGGGTACTCCTTCAGTAGCATTTTGTCAGTCATTCATTTTCCTTAGTGGAGGCAACAACTCCAAGAGTGAACTGTCACACAACACTGTTAGTGAACTGGTCAGTTCACTGCACACCACACTTGAGGCTGCTGTGATTTGTTGATTTGTCCATAGAATCCTCTTACTGCATGCAGCCATTGTGAGGGTGAAAACTTTCATGAGATGCAGGGAGTACTGAAATTTTCAGTACTTCTTTCTGCATTTTTTCAATTGTGATCCATTTGTTTCTCTCAATGTAGAAATGATTTGTTGGTGATGGCCTCATTGGTGTTGTCTCTCTGTCCAACATCTCCTTTTATGGTGAGTTTATTGACAGAGGAAAAAAGTTGAATTATGAAGCCTTTTTATATCATTCAACCTTATATAACCGTTTCTACTGGTAAATTCAAGTTCTTGTTCTTCTTTGCATCTTATGAAGCACACAGTTATTTGCAATAAAGATGTAGTCCCTAGAGTGATATGTAGACTTTTGTATCTGCTATAATGAGATCAGTATTTAAACAAATTTTTTCAACACACTTTCTTTTTCTTTGTTTATTGTAGGAAACTGGCTTTACAAAGCTTATAGTTTTGCTGGCAACATTTACAGAGGGTAACTACATTATAGACAATTCTTGATTATTATAATGTCAATATTTGTAGTAGGTGACACTTTTTAATAAAATAAACTTGCCAGGAGCAAAGATGCTTCTATAATAGTGTAGTCTCATCGTCCTGGTGAGTGTATAGTCCTAAGCAGGTCTGTTAATTGGCACCAGTGGTGATTGACTTTTTGACAACCTGAGGGGAAGTCACTAGACTTTGATGATGACTTCCACTCAGGTTGTCGAAACATCAGTCACGGCTACAGACAACAGTCCATCTCAGGAGCACACTCACCTGAACAGTCAGACTACACTTATCTATCACATGTTAATTACTTCCGGTTCTCATTCATTTCATACAAGTGAGATCCTTTTTTTCTAGCCAATAGACACTTTGCTCCTAATCTTTTGTTTGAATAATGGTAATTTACATTTGACAGTCTGTGTCATTGCATATTGTTTTTTTTTTCTTTGTTTTACACTTATAGTCAAAAGCCATCATGACTTAGTGAGGAATCTCAAGCTTTACCAGGTGAGCCTTGATGTTGTATAACATTTTGCTTGCATCTAATATATAAAGAGTGTCACTCAACTAAAATGTTGAAGAAGTTTTTATACACACTGCATTGTGATACTGTTAGATACTGTAGAATATACTGAGTCAGTTGTTTTGTTCTAAGCATTATATAATTGACTGAGTGGGAGAGCCAGTCGTCACAGGAAAAGCTTAGTATACTCCTGTCCGGCTCAACCTAACCAAGTCAATTAGCATTTTATCATGTGATCAGTTTTCTTTGTTTTGCTCTTTTCTTCTGGCATACTTTGCCTCACAGGGTCACATGCACACAATGCCGAGTCACAGGGCTTTGTATGGCCCTGCCAGCACTATCATGTGATAAAATTAAATTGAGGATCCTGTCAAAATTAGTATTATGTTGTTTATTTGTTAGTCCCATGAAGATTTTGAGTTCAAGAAGCTGTTAATGAGCACATTGGTACTGCTGAGTGCTGATTCTGGAAGCTCTCAGGTAACCTTAAAAAAGATGTAGAGGTCATAGCATTGATGGAATGGTTTTAAAAATGAACTTTGGATTAAACTCATTGAATACATAGCCTCCAGCAGGCTTTTTTAACTTTATAATTTGAATATATCACAAAATTGAAATGGTAAATTTGGCCACCATTACGATTATAAAAGCTGACATTTCGAGCGTTAGCCCTTCGTCGGAGTGAATTTTTTAACTTTACTTTCATTATTTACAACAGATTTTTTGTGAGGGTCGCGTGATCTTGTCGTTGTTTTCCTTTGTGCGAGCAAATGACAACAGCTCAACTGTGGAGTGGTCCCCTGCACAGTTTGAAGAGCTGCAGTTACAGGTAAAAGTTACATAAAAGTATTTTTCAAGTAGTGCTTTTGCCTTATGGGTAATATATGAATTCATTTGGTACATTTGAAATTCAGAAAATTAGCACACATGAGAAAAGCTTAGAATTGTAAACGATTACTGCTGCTCTGTTATTTTATTTCTGTCATGCAATTGGCTTTTCCTTTGAAGAAGAAAGACATTCCATAAATATTCCTGTTGTTCATGGTTTGCTGATTTCTACCATAACACTGATATTCAAATATTGTAAAGAAAAAAATAAAAATGTGGTTAACAATGTTAGTGATGAAATGCAGTAATGATAGATCATTTTATTGTTTGTCTCACAGTGCACTCATTGCAGATGTTGATTAAGCAACATTTTAACTGCATACTGAAAAATTTCTTTTCAAATTATGAGGACAGCTGTTACCTGCCACTTTACAAAGCATTAAGCTCTTTTGTGATTGGTTGGTTCTTAAGCATTTACAGAAGATCACTCCATGATTGGCATTGGTGATGTGTCCTCTCAGCTCTGTCCTCAAACCAAGTGACCTCATCACCAATAGAAACCTAAACAATGTAGATGTTTATGATGGAATTTTCACAGTCAACCTCTCAGCTACTGACTACAATGTCAGACTAGCAAAAAATACTTCATTCTTATTCAGATGTGTTTTGTTTCCAGGCCCTAGATACTCTGAGCACTGTGGCTCCCTTGTGTTTGGATGATTTCATGACTTGTCAGAGTAATACCAGATTGCTTATGCTACTAGAATGGTGTGTGGGGGAAGGTATGTTGAAAAAAATGCTGGCATCATTTGTTTTTAGCTTCATCCACCGATTCCATAGCCCAGCCATTTACATTTATATATCTGTCACTCAGAAAGGGAGGAAATAAATGCTGCTCCATTTTTTTAAATTTTTTTTTTTTTAATACAGATAAGTATGAAAAGCTTGCTTAAATATTCCCTTCACCACCAGACATGTTTGGAAATTTGTGAATCTCAGGTTTATTTTTTTGTTATTAATCCGTTATTTGATCCCCAAAGAAATTGCAGTCATCTCAAACTCCCAAAATTAGTTCTTGCAAACCCCAGAGAAATAGCCAATCTGCAAAGTAAAAACAAAATTACTCATATTTAACAAATGTTTTTTCATCTTTCTTTAAGCTGACTATGGTGGTCATGGCAACAGTTTCCATGGTTCTGGTGGCCGTGGCAACAAGCGAGCCCAGATGCGGTATTGTTTGCGGCTGATGAGAAGCATGGTGTCAGTGGGAGACGATGGCTTGAATCAAGATCTTGTAGATCAAGGAGCTATCAATCAGATTATTGGTGAGTACTGTGACTATGGGGTGAAAGAGAGGGAAGGGAAGAGAGGGGGGGGGGGTGGGGGAGGAAAAACTTCCCAAGTGTCGGACTTCAGGACTTACAAAAATCGCAGTGTTGTGTTTTGAGGCAAAACACTTTACTTTTACTGTTCCTCTCTCCACCCAGGAGGATAAATGTGTAACGGCGAATTTTAAGGGAAATTTAAGGAATTGCTGAGTGGTGATCTGTGAAGGACTAACATCCCATCCATGGCCCAGTTATTGAAAGGGCAGATAGCGCTATTCAGCGGTGTTGACAAAAGTACTGCGTTATCCATCAGATAGAGATTGATCCATTGGATAGCGTTATTCATCCTTTTAAAAAAGCGGGGCTTGGTGGATACAATAGTTTTGTTAACACCTATCTGCTGGATAGCGATATATCCTTGGGATAGCGATTCATCCTTGGGATGGCGATTTATCCTTGGGATAGCAACTTATCCGTGGGATAGCGTTATCTACCCTTTGTACCACTGGGCCCTGCATATAAAGATCCATCCACTGGAGTGAGTTACTCACACCTCGTAAAACCAGCGCCTGGAGAGGTAGTGATAATCTTTGTTACTCAATTCCATAGAAGCGAGGACTGACTTTTTTAACCAGAAGCTACCTACCTAACTTTATTACAAACCAATAAATGATTTTGCCACAATTTGCAGGAATTCTCCTCAATGCCAGCACCAGCCCTGATGAGAACGATGCCATTGACATTGAGATGCAGTGTGATATGTTGTTCCTCGTGGCGTCTCTTTGTGAGGGAGACACACACAAAAAGGTGAGAATGTTTAACTCTTAAAACCCTAAGAGTGATCAGCATCTAATTTCTCCTTACAATAATACAGCTGAGTCTTTCATTAATATCATGAGAATATAGGAAATGATCACCAACCTAGAGAACTTTGATTAGTATACAAATTCTCCTCGCCAGGACCAAAGGAAATGTATAAAGAAGAGTATACAGAATATGGATGTTGATGTTTGCGAGTGAAGTATCTAATTTAGGTTGGTGGAATAGTAATTTTACCCAGGCCAACGTTAGGAACATTTGTTATTCCTTGTAGGAACTATTTGGCGCTCAAGGAGTCCAAGTGTTGGTAGAATATCTGAAGAGAGATCCTAACAAGATTAACAGTCCGCTGGGACATCATCAGCTTCTTTTGTCTGCAGTGGACTGTGTGTGGTGAGAACAGTGATTTACAACGTTTTAACTTATTTTCAGTTTAAGTTATTTTCAGGTGTGGTCTTAGAACAATTTTCAAATTATGTGTCGAAAGTAACCTAGAATTTTATTGCTTTTACTCAACTTCGCTTTGTGATTGACTTAGAAAACTCGCGCCTGGCTCATAACCAATCAGTTGCGACACGAAAGCTTACCGCGTCATGATCACTTGCGCTTTGCCGCGCTTAAGCCAGACTCTAAACCAATCAGATGCAAAAAAATAAAACCAGCCGCGTCTTAGTCACTTGCGCTTTGCCGCGCTTAAGCCAGACTCTAAACCAATCAGATGAAAAACAAAAACCAACCGCGTCTTAGTCACTCACGCTTTCCCGCGCTTAAGCCAGAATCTCAACCAATCAGATGCAAAACAAAAACCAACCGCGTCTTTATCACCCACGCTTTCCCGCGCTCAAGGCAGTGCGTGCGATTTAACTTTGAGTTCGTAATGGTTCCCTGTGATTTTTGTAGTGACCACTTTGGTTTTGGTTTTACGACACTCCATTCATTAATCACGGTTTTTTTTTTTGTCCTGTTTAAGGTCTGCTGTGTTGGGATGTTACATAACTGAACAGCTGTTTCTTGAAAATGATGGAGTGTTTCATCTCATGGATTTATTAGAGGTACTTAACAGGAGTGTTTTTAAGATACTAGCTGAGCTTGTTTCGTATTATTAACTGCAGATTACACCTGTGAGCTCAGCTAAATTGGTGTAGTACCATATAATAATTGTCAACTTGTTGAGGATCGATGTACACCAATGAGAGTGCATCAATCGTAGCTAATCATCATACTTTATTGTTAAAAGCGACATGTGATTATCTCTGGTCCTCAATTGGTAACTTGTCTCTACAATAACAAGTGGTTTCAAGGTCCATCTGTCTTTGTAACCGCGATGAACGAAAACAGCTTTCAAAACATGGGAGATGTTTTAGATGGTAGAATCTTAATTTTGACTCAATTCACATAATCGTGCGGCAGAGAAAAAAAAACACAGAAAGGCAGTCAGAAAAAAACGAGTCAGTTTTCGTTGTGATAGGTTTTTGAATCGTGATACAGTAAATAATTTAGCCCCAAGGCACAACTTATCAAGTGTTTATATAGTAAAGACTAATATTGATTTACTTGGTTCAGATATGTCCAATGACAATGCAGAATTTGGTACTGGGATGTTTAGTGGATCTCTGTGAGAATTCTAAGGTAAGAAATTACGTTAACCAGTCAGAGTCCTAGCTGATAAAATGCGCTTTTCCAATAAGATCCTATGCCATTTACGAATCTATATTTTTATTTTCGTCTTTTCACTCACCCTCCTTCTTAATTGTAAATTAGACTCTTTATTTTCTCTCTGTTAGTAGCAATCAAGAACGGGGATTTTTATCCTCATGGGTTCTTTGAACATGTAAACTTAGACTACGAGCAGTCCCTCCTTTTAGTGTGCCACTCAGAACTTTAAGATTTTGGTGCGCCTCACTCCCGTGAGAGGAACCGCTCGCTGCCTGATGTAAACTGTGTTTCAGTTCTAGGAAAGGAATACGTTTTGTTTCAATAACTTAGTTTGTTAAAAATTTAGACAGCGATACGCCCATTAACATTCTGATTCTTATATTTTTTTCCTTTAGGCTCTGGCGCATGTTCAATCCTGGCGTGGGAAGAAGCAGATTACAGCTGGTAAACTTTTGGTGGAATTGTGGAAGAAAGAGGAAGCAAACATGGGTGTGGCTAGAAATGAGATTGGGAAAGTAACAGGTAATTGCCTCTTCGCCATCTTATCCTTGTTTTTCTTTTTCGCGCTTGTGGGAGCATCAAGAATACGATTGAAGCCTGTGCAGGCAGTTAGTTTATAAGATTGTGCGGGATGGGTGAGAGAGAAAACGAGGGAGGACTAAGGAGAGAGAAGGAAGAACTCCTTTTGCAAACCCAGCCCATGTTCTCTCGCCAGGTCATTGACGCTCGTCTCCAGGAAAGGAGAGAGCCTGGCACAGGCTGATTCACTTCGCAATAATAAGAACAAATGACTGAAAACCAGAAGAGATCACAATTTGCCGAAGGCACCTTGAGTATGAACTTCGTATGTGGCCTAGCTCACCATAGAATTCTCTGTAGCTCATTGTCATAGAATTTGATCGCCAAAATGTAACTGAACGAGAACTGAATGTTGCAGATCTCAAGAAACCTCTAATGGGCACAGTCCAAGAACGACAAGGTGTTATCCCGCTTCCCGCTGACCGGCCGAGCCAAGCGATTGTGGACGTGTCTGAAAACATGAGAGCTAAAATTTATTCCATGTTTTGTAAGCTTGGTGAGTTTTTACTGATCTATGGAGCCCTTCGTCCGAGTTAAGTGATGTGATTAAGTTTTCCAAACAATAACGTAGCTCCATTCTCTGCCTTTAAAAGCACAGACAACCCACAACTCCTCTATTCGCTCCGACGAAGGGCTAACGCTCGAAACGTCAGCTTTTGTAATCGTTACGGTGGCCAATTTACCACTTCAACTTTGTTGATATATCCAAATTATTTTCTAAACAAATATGTTTCCCTCTGTGTTCAGGTTTTAACGCGGTTCCTGGTTTATCGACTCTGGATTACGTCACTGTGGCCATAATTGAAAAATACCTCGACTTCAAGGTGAGGATGGACTAATCACTATCCATTCGGTAACTCTCTATCCGGTGGATGGTGCAGTGCGTTTTGCTATTACTTATCCGCTGGTTGATGTTCTCCGTCCTGTATAAACTGGGCCTAGATCTTTCCCGTCGCAGGGTTTATTGTGTTGTATTCACGAGCAAGGTATTTGCTGTCACAGTGCCCCTCTGCTCTTTAGAGTCTAAATTGGTAGCGATTAATTGTAAGGGAATCCTGGGAGGGTGGGGGAGGGGGAAGGGGGAGAAGTAATACTCCCAATCGCATTACGCTACAGCAACAGGATAAGTTTTGGGAGTAATAAATTTCTTCTCGTAAGAATTAACCTCTCATTATGGATTTATTTTTAATCCTCTGGATAGGATCTGGTGGGAAGAGTTTGTCGAGTACCAGTAACTGCTGTCATTTATGATGAATTTGTTGTATTGATTGATATTTTGCTGCAGATGCTTGAAGTGTGGAATGAAATTAAGGTAGAGCTTGAACAAGAGAACATCAGACCCGTGTCTCCTGATGCAGACTGTATGGTGGAGATCTCCAGAATACTGAACGATAGAGCCGCGGGAGTGTCCAGTACTCAGGTCAGTGAGATGAAGGAAAGGAGAGGAAGGGACAGGAAGGGAAAGGAATTGAGTGAAAGGACGAGATTGTTTGAAAGAAGGCAAGGGCGAGAAAGAAACGAGAGTGACGTCAGTCAGATGGAGGGCGAAGGGAGAAGGAGGAAGGGGTGGAGAGCTAAGTCAGCTTGGAAGGGGAGGGGAGGGTAGATGGCATGAAAGATTGGGGCTGGGGAGTGTAGGAAGTGTCCAGAACTAAAGACAGTCATTGGGAGTCGAGGATAGAATGTGTTACTGAGTCAACAGCGAAGGGGAGGGAAAGTCGTAATAGATGGGGGTAGGCTGATAGGACCTGATAAAGCAGCTGAAGTGTCCAGTACTCAGGTTAGAGGAGGAAGGGGTTTTAAGCTGAATCAGTAGGGGGGACCAGGGGCCACAAAGCGGCGGATGTCATGTACCCTGGTCAGCCAAGTGGAGGTGTGGGTAGGTAGTGGAGGGTTGAAAACTGTGTCAGCTTGAAAGTGGAGGAGAAGTCAGTGTTAAATGTTGTTTTTGTCGTGGTTTTTGTTTTCACATCTTTCTCTTGCTCTGCAGGATAAACTGATTCAAGCCGTGCGAAACCAGCAGCTTATTGAAGAAGAGGAGTATTATGAATCTGTGAGTTGTAGTTTTGATTGAAGTGCTTTATTGATGACGGCTTACTTTCCCATTTTTTGTCACAATATCAAGTTCTTCTTTTGTTTTAATTTCGTAGATCAAAGAAAGTCACCGCCAAGAAGAAAAGGCCTACAAAGATTTTTGCGATTATGTCGACAGAACATCAGACTACGCGGCTCTTAGGGTGGGTTTTGATTTAAATGGACGTTTCTATTTCTCCTTTATGGCGTCTCATTGCTTAAACTGCTTGGTAAATTTTCTTGAGTTTGCATTGTGTGGACAGATACAGAGCGCTTTCCTTTAAGATGTTGAAAGTTGAAAAAAAATAACGTCTAATCGAATCAAAGGAAAATTTCACGAGGATCCAATGAGAACTCACCGCAAAAACAAACAATTAACCTGAAGCGCGGAAAAACAAGAGTCATTGTGTCAAGATTGGTTTCAGTGTTGCATTTGATTGGTTGAGATGAAGGCGTACGTTTTCAGGACCAATCACGGATCGCAGTAGAGATGCTCTGACGTCTGAGCCACAGGAATGTTCGTATTGTTACTGTTTCTTCATTCTAAAATTTTATTTTGTTCAATTATTCAGGCTGCGAAAGAGAAACAGTTTTACGCCATAGAAGCTTCAAGACTTCAGGAAAGAGTTTATCCTGGGTAAGAGACAAGTTTTCAACTTTATGTTAAACAAAATCTCTTTGTATTTAAAGAAAAAGGTCTTTCTGTTGGTATCTATTTTTTTCTAACAAAGGTCTTAGAGGACGTCATAGTGTTTCGTACTGTTCTCTGCTTGGATATTAGTTGTCAAACACCATCCACTACCCCCCCTGCAATTTGGTGACTATCTCTCTCCCAAATTCCTTGGTAAATCAAGTATCGGTTCAACTATAACGGTTAACCTTTTCCGCTATCTGTCTTTTCTCCTTTTTTCAGCGAGATTTCCCACGACACATTACAAGAAGACCTGAACACAACTGTAAGTAAATCATAAGGAAGGGCGTATATTGGTTTAGGTAAAACTAAAATATTCTGTGCAGGTTACTTCACTTGCACTTGTCAGAGGTTAAAAGTTCATAGACTTTTCTTCGAAACGGAAAGCCAGGATATCCCCGTGGGAATCTTGAGGGGGGGAGGGTGAGTCTCATTGTGCTAAAGGAGGGGAAGGTACCTCAGCATTACCCATTACCTTCCTGGCCAGTTTCGCATCATTTAATGTTTAATCACGTTTTTATTCAGACGTTCTGCGGAAGACGAGTAGAAATCGAAAGTGTCCCACTTGAAATAACAAGAACGATTACAACTACGACAACAGCTGACGAGGAAAAGAAAACTCCTTTAGTTGCGGTAAGTGAAAGAGAGGGAAAACGAGATGCGCAATCCAGCTACCAGGCTTTCTCATATTCTCACTCCCTGATCCTGAGAACGAGGTTAAAGACTGTGGGAAGTTTGCGTAGCTGACATCTCTCTCTACCTTCAGCAATGCGGAAGGAAAGGAACGAAAAAATACCTAACACTTATACCGCTTAGAACCAGAAGGGAATCGAAAACACTGCCACGCAGGCTAGTGCGCGGTTAATATTGTTAATATTAAGTATTTGTCAGTTGACTGTCAAAGTTGAAGTTAGTGGACTTTGTCTGGAATCATACGCGTGATTTCAAACTGAACAAGCGCAGCCAAGGTGCGATGTGAAATTTCAATTATGATTTTAAACGAAAATTGCACGACGAAGCTCGTCGTCCTTCAGAAACTGAGGATAATTATTTCCGTGCAATTTTTCATTGGTTTCTTTAAGAAAAAAATGGTAACATGAGTTGTCAAAGTCGCCACACAACGAGTTCTCTGGCATTCAGTTTCCTACAATTTGATTGGTTCTTTTGAACAAGTTTTGAAGTCAGATTGCTTTTTTGTGTGTGTTTTGGTGTGCTTTCTGATTGGCTGACAAAAAGATGCAGAAAATAGTACAATTTAAAGGAAAAAAAAAAGGAGTGCATGGCTGAGGCAATTAACCTGCGGGTTACAAGTGATTTCGCTATGGATCTCATAAATTTGAAGAGTAAAGGAAACTTCTCAATTTGTATTTCACATTTTATTTTTCAGTAAAAGAGTCGACTGCAAGACCATATACAAGTTGTACAACCTAAAGAATGTTATAATTATATTCCACTGTTGTAAATAATTTGCAGCCTAACTTTGTAAATACTTAAAAACGTTCTTGTCTGGTTTGTATACATGTATTTGACAGTTAAAACTAATGTTGCGCCTAACTCGTTGATGTGTAGGTGATGAATGTCACACTTCATAGGTTTGTGTCGTTATTTATACTGTATAAATTTAAACCAAATTAATTTGATGTGCGTCGAGATTTGTCGCCCATTAAACGAACACATACTGACTTTTTACCTGTAAGAGACGTCCACATTCATTTCACCCAGAGGCTACCAGTTAAAAATATTTTAGAGATTGAAAAAGCGTGGAAGGCAAGCTGAAATCACAGTTTAGGAACGCCTTTGGAACTTTGGAAAAGCAGTCATTTTTAGACTACGAACCGCTTCCCTATCGCCTCGCGCGAGTCAATAGAAACCGGAAGGAAAAAAAAATACGTTTTGGAGCCGCGGGAGGTCTGGGGAGCGAACCGCGCTCATGGCTTCCTGGGTCCAGTTTTGTATAAAGAGCAGATAATGCTATCCGGCGGAGAAGTGATAGCAAAACGCACTACGCTATCCACTAAAGAGATTTATCCATCCTTTGGTGCACATTTTAAGACAACAGCATAAAACCCCACCCAGATCTCAGGATCTTTCTTTTTCCCTCACCAGAAAGCTCCATGGCGAGGAAAGAAGAGAGGCCCTGGGAGCGACGATGTTTAAACCCCGTTTAGAAAGTTCAGGGAATGACCACGAGGTTCAGATTTCACTATAATGAAAGAAAGAGCTTCTACCATCTGTTCTCTTTGTCCACCCGGGCATTGTACCATCTAAATAAATATGCCCATATACTCCTCGCCCCGGTTGTTGAAGGTGGAATAACACTATCCTTTGGATAAATCCATATCGGGGGATAACGCTACACGTTTTGCTATCAATTATCCACTGGTTAGCAATTTATCCGTCAGAAAGCGTTCGCCACCCTTTAGACAACTGGGCCCTGAATAATATAAGTAATACCGATGTTTATTATATGGCTATTTCTCACAAGGACTGGGACCTACCGAATTCACGAATTTGATTGGCTGAAATCAATATTGAAAGCGGTCTGGATTTTCCCATCTAGACCGGTCTAGAAAAAAAAGGTACAAAGAATATAAACAATTGGCATATAAGACACAGCCATATAATAAACATATTAACCGAGCTAGGTCGGTCTGTATGGGAGAATCTTAACCTCGGTCGCTAGTACAGACCTCACTGCGTTCGGTCTGTACTGGTGACCTCGGTCAAGATTCTCCCATACAGACCTTCCCGCTCGGTTAATAAGAACTAAGTATAAGTTATATCGCGTCCTCACCGGTGTCTAAGTCCATACCTTCAGCTTGATCATTTTTTACCAAATTTTTCCTTCCGCCCTTCGTGTGCAACCCGTAAAATCGCAGTCGCCATAACAACTGATCCGATCTGACGGAACTTGCTTTTCAAATTTGTAGCCAGCATTCCATCGCGCGGGGGGTTTGCCTGACCCGTAGAAATCTTTCTCCAGGAAGTTCCGGATATCTTGGGAAGACGAAGGGGGATTTCGTTGGAGCTGTTCTGACGAGAATAAAGCGCCGACCTCTCTTGAGCCGGGATAATACCTGTCTGGATCAAGGAGGCGGTCACAGGACTTGTGCAACGGATTTCTAAAACATCTTTTGAGGTTTCCATGTGCGTGATATGAAGCGGACTTAGAGCGCGGTCTTTTCGTTCGGGAGGACGACCCACCTTATTACTGGGTATTGCAGAGACTTTTTTTGAACCGGGCGCTGGCTCTTGAACACATCCCAGTGGTTTTAGGGGCTGTTTGCATTCTGCGAAAGTTCTGCGGAGATCTTCAACTGTATCAACAGTATTTCTACGTAAACCGCCAGTCCGACCCGCGAGGCTATCTTTTCTTCTTCCATCAGCCAAACATGGCAAGCTCAAACGCTTTGTCACTATTTTAGACGGCCTGGTGTATCGATCGAGGCTTTCAACCAGGCTTTCCTTCGCCAAAGATATCCTACGTAACTCTTTGTCAATGAAACCTCTTTCTCGCGAGATCGACTCGAGTTTTTGTCTAAGGATCTTGTCCTCCATGCTATTTTTCATCTGTACTGTCTTATTCCTCTCAGCTAGGGCTCGTTGCGGATACTTAGACATGGTTCGAATACTTAGTGAACTTAAATTTCTCCAATACACGTCAACTTCAATTCACACCAAGTTTTCGGTGTTATGTACTTATGTAATTGGCCGCATTTTCAACTTTTAATTAAAATCAATTAACAGCTTTACCTAATTGACTGTTAAGCCGACAAATGAAAAAAAAAAAAAAAAAAACCTTGGGATTCTAAGCATTTATGAGCAATTAAGAAGTGTTTTAATTCGTCATTTAACTTCGATGAAACAATTTCGACGTTCCTGTTTTCAACACCACTTCTAAATCTCTTCCACCACCTCTTAACATCGCTGTGGCTACATTAACATTTCAAATTCTATACATTCTGTCTCTCGGAAATAATGTTTATACAAGTTTGTACAGTGGTATTGTTTACAAATAATATACCTTTTTTGAATAGAAATTCATATTAAACCATATACATCTGAATACGATCGCTGTTTCCTTCATAAATACAATCCCTCCATTGCTAACAATACGAAATGAAGATACAAAAAATATTTACTACTAATACGATTTACGCATCCGTGACTGAAATCGCATTAATTATTCTTCAGTAATTTCCTTTCCGTGGACAGTTAATTGTCAGGTAACTTTGTATTATTAAAATGCTGTGCACGCATGCATGTACGTATTGAGATTTTGTTTCTTGAGGCAGAACAATAACGAACACCAGTTAAATAATTAATTTTGTGTCCCTTCAGTGGGAAGTAAGTCTGGCACAGTTGTCATCTCCTCCGCTTCTTCTCGCAAAGCATCAGCTTTTTCTTCTACAAGCATCTGAAAACGACACCTCAAATCTATCAGCGACCGACTCTCTTAGCTTGTCACAATTTTGCGCGGGTTTCCAAGGAGAATTACTACACAGATCAGTTAGTGATTCAATATCGTCGTTTTACAAAGGATATGGGATGTCAAAATCCTTTTTTGATAAACAGACGAGTTTAAAATAAATCAATAAACATAATAGAAATGTATCAAATGACATACAACATTTGTCTCCAAATAAAAACTTCGAATAGTCTTTTAACTCTAATCGCAAAGAAGCGACAAATTTGCGATAATAAAGTTAAAGAAAAACCTATCCTCGAATCTGGAAAATACGTGCCCACGAAAGTGTTCGCCTCAACCTCCAAGTCAAGGTCTCTGATATGATTGGTTCATTGATCAGATAAAAAAAAAAAAAACCAAGTTGGGGGGGGGAGGAATGAGAAATTTGTAGTTCGATATGAAGAGGTGAAACAATCATCTCAAACGGAATGATTAATGCAAGGTATGACACAATCTTAGGCCAATCAACGTGCACAAATCTCGGTCTCCATGATAAATTGCGCAATTTTGTCTGAAAAAAAAAATCACTCGGGTTACCTTAGCTGCGGAGACAATCTGATTGGCCTGCCGTCTCGGGAGGTGCTCGATCTGCTCCACGAGTGACGCGGGATCAGCCCAGGCCAAGCTGCTCAGGGTTTTGTATCCGGCCTTTACGAATTGGCGTGCACGAGCCTAAGGGAAAAGACAGTTTATAAAACAGAAGCATAAAACCTAATGTTGTCTGCTTCTGATTGAAGTAATAAGAAAACACACGTTGCGCGAGTCAAAACACTAACACTAGTTTGGACTGAGGGTTGATGAATTTTCTTATTCCGAGACCTTGCAAGATTCACAACTAAACCCTTTGAGCTCTGCACTTGGCCGTTAAACGTTTATCTTTACGATACACGTCCGGTTCATTCTTAGCTTGAGAACAAGCGCACGTGGGAGGGATACGGATGTACGGAAGTAAAGAGAGAGGGAGGGGAGGGGGTTACCGAACAAATTCACCCCACCCCTCACTCCACCCCTTGTCCTTAGCGTTTCTCACTCGCCTTATTCTTCTCCGCGTACATAGGCTATTCAGTTGCTGAAGGAGAAATCAAGTTTTACCTGTTTCACTCCAGGAACCTCCATAAGGGGCACAAGCTCCAAGCTTGCTGTGTACGACAACTTTTTTACCATGGCTTCGAGTAACATAGTCAAGCCCCAAAATTCACTAAGCTCCTGAACATCAATAAAAACAATTTTATTACAAATAAGGACGCGAGTCGAGCAGTTTCCGAGCTCGAGATTATTCCTTAGGCAATTCTCCCACTTGATTTCAAAACATTCATCTCCTGACTAGACAAGAAAATTTCGTGTTTAATCAAATCTATATATCCTGGTACACAGTAGTCTTAATAATCATCATCAACCTGAGAATTAATGACTGATCAATCCGGTGATGAAACAGTTACAATGAAACTTCTCTCACTTGGATGAGTTTTTCAAAACTGACCAATCCGATTACAGTAACCGACCAATATACTCCAACTCAATTCTTTGACAGCTGTCCTTCGAGCCTAACGTTTAAAAATAAACTACCGACAACAGAGCCCTTATTGAATCTCTCGCTGGTACAAACTTACTCGAGTGAAGTGGACCATGCATGACGCGAACGAAGACGATGAAGTCAACAGATTCTGTACAAATCCTCGAGTCACGTTAAAAAGACGGGCCACGTTCCATACAGTATGCTCTTGTAACAATTTGTAAAGCATCAGGGTCAAATAGAAACGCCTTACTCTGGCTTCTGCAGTGTCGTCCTTGTACAAAAAAAAAAAAAAAACAGGTATGGTCAATGGAGCTCTGCAAAGGTTGTTTCACGACACAACGGTCAAACTTCAAGCGCGAGCAAGACGATCAGTTTTGGCCGGCCGCGCGCCAATTTCCCACGCAAAATTTCAAAGGAAAGCATAAGAAACAACCGCTGTGACGAAAGTTGTATATAATTTTCCGTTTGCCATGAAAGCATTAATTAATCTTTCTATTACCAAAAATATCGGCAAATCAAAGGTCTGCGGAAAAAGTTACCGAGAGATTTAGCGACATGAAAAATCACTTCCTTGTTCTAGGACCCCTTGGCGACTTAAAAAGATGCCGGTAATAAATAGACGGGGCTAATTATAGGGAGAGTTGTAAGAAAGGGAAGTCAATAAATAGGACTTCCTATGGAGAGGACGGTTTATCAGGAAGGACCCCTGTAAGAAAACCGAGAGAACATATGTTAGAGAGAGTCTAGTAGGGAGCGATCTTAGAAGATGACTATTTACCATTTTCGATCGCTGTCCTGTGGCTCGTCTGAATAAAAAACTTTCTGTACCTCCCAAAAGTTCAGCGACTCTTTCCTCGGACTCTTCACGAAATGAAGACACCTGAAGGAGAAACAAGGAATGAGTCTTCAATAAAACTATTTCAGACAGGTCACTTCAAGGTTCATTTCTTTCTTTGGGCACAGGTTTTCAAGGATGTTTCGGAAGGACACTAAACTTACCATGTTTTTTTTATCAATAAGTGTTTTTATTTTTCAAAATAGTTTCTAGAACCAGTGAATAAAAGTGCACTAGAGCGAAAAGCAAAAGTAATCATGACGGCCAATCAGAAGAAGAAATGTCAGAAGGGACCAATGAGAATTCGAAGTTAATGCACGTGACTTGCGTCAATGGCTAGAAAACGCGAGCGGTAGAATAGACTCTTGACCAATCGCGGAGCAATGTAATCCGGTATTACTTTCGACACTCACTCACCTGCTTGTAATATACCATCCACTCAGGTTCAATTGAATCTCTCAAGTCATGTGGCGTAACCAGATACAATAGATGTAGCTCATTGGCTAGCACTAGGTTGTCCTGGGCTCTAGTAAGCTCGCTATATATCATGGGACTGCTGTCTACATCAATACATCCTGCAAGGGTGAAATTCCTTCATGAAAAACGACAACAAACAATTACAACGTTTTATACAACTCAGTACACATTTGCACGTAAATTGTGATTGTCTAATAAGTCATTCCATTTAAAATGTCACCAAAAAATCTACATTTTGAATCTTTCTCTTGCATTGATCGATGCTAAACTTAGCAAATACAGTGGCATTTTTGACATTAGCAGAAAACGAGATACTTCAAGTAATTACCTCATTCTAACATTGTAACATCGTAATATAAACAAATGACTGTTCGCGTTACTTTATGCTGTAATTAAATTCTTGGGTTTCTTATTCGGTCTCTGCTGAAGCTTTCTGCAACCGGGATAAACTAAATAAAGTTTGTTCCCTGATTTCTTAAGTGTCCCAAAATAGTGGAACCTAAATTCAAGAGACACCCTTAAGACTATAAAAAGCGTTCCCTCGATGGACCTGCGTTTTCAAAGGAGTTAACAGATTCAAAGGCCACGCAACTTTTTTTTTCAAGTTGGCGCTCAAGTCTGAATTTCTTAAATCTTGGTGTCTGCCGAGCAGAGCATATCTTTTGCTTTGTTTTTCCACACCTTTGAAAGTAGCATGTCCGAGCTGAGTGACTTCGATCACACTGCTGTCTGGGGAACCAGTAATCTTGACATGCCCCAAGTCGTGTAAGGAGTCCAGCGCAGTCTCCATTTGTTTACTAATGTTGACTGACTGCGATTCTGACTGCACGGACAGAAAAGTGTTGTGCATAAACTGTGTCAGTTTTTCTGTTGTTGTACAAAGCTGCAAAAATAAGGGCTTTGAGGTTGAACAACCTACATCACGGAGATCAGTAACAAGAGGAAACCACATCTTGAGAGGAAAACCACATTTTTTGAGTCACTTTTTATTTTCAAAGGGAATTTTTGTAAGTAGAAGTCAAAGCAATTTTGAATTGATTGTCAAAAGTAATTGAGGATTTTCACTGGTTTTCCTTTATTGCCCTCTGTGAATGGTCCAAAAAAACGCGCACCACTTTTTCAACCAATATTTTCAACCAATGCAAAACTAACCAAACGCGGCATTTTGACACACTTTTTTCCGCCAATTCTCACTGGCTTCTTAAGATAGTTTCCTTCGAAAACTCAAACAAAATGCGCCCGAAAGAAAACCTTACAATGTTCTCTTGTGAAGGGCTATCTTCTTATTTCCATAGAGAATAATTTACTAAGAATAAATCACGATATTCTGCTTGCACAAACTCACTTTCAGTCCAATAAGTGTGAGGAGCATTGCTCTTAATCCTTTGCCATTGTCAAACAATAAACCACTGTGACAGCTCTCTAACGGGCCTGAAAATAGGTGACGAATCTGGAAAGAGAAAAAAAAAACTCACACCTCGTTGAAAACAGAAGGACAAACCCCACACTAATCGTGTCGCACATCCTTTCTTCCTTGGACGTCGAGTCTTGTTTCGCGCAAGGTGAATCAAATTCCTCTCAAGAGCTTTTTTCTGCGCGACGTGACTTATTCCACGCAAGACGTTCTCATTACTCTACGATACGTATCCAATTTCTCGCGAGATGTGTCTCATCACTCGCGAGACAAGTCTAATTTCTATCAAGACGTTGTCAGTTTCCCGCGAGACAAATCTCATCTCTTGCAAGAATTGTCTGCTTCTCGCGAGAAGATTCTCAATAACCGCGAAACAAGTGTAATTTCTCACGAGACGTTCTCAATTTCCCGCCTCAATTATTTCTTACAAGAATTGTCTGATTCTCGCGAGATGTCTCATTCCTCACGAAATATGTTTTACCTCTCCTAGGATGTTACTCATACTCGCGAGACGTGTCCCATTTCTCGCGAGACGTGTCTCACTTCTCGTAAAACGCGTCTTATTTCACGCAAGATGTGTACGAATCCACAAGAAAAGAAAAGACAACACGGTCAAACCAAGGGCAGTATAGAACTAATATAAAAATAAATCCTAACCTTCGGCTTATCGGAATCTTTGACAATAAGAATACTTTCTCCTGACGTTTCTATCCCAGCTCGACCCGCCCGACCAATCATCTGCTTGTATTGACTCTGACTGAGCACTGAGCTTCCCACATACGGCGCGCGGATAATCACCCTGCACACAAAACTAGTGCATTAGCTGCTTCTGAATAGCAAAGCTCAATTAACAGATATGATTATGAATTGGACAACATAAAGTTCTCTTCTCTTTTAATCAAAACTATGACGAATTTTAAGAGGCAAAATACCTATTGGACGAATATATTGAATTTTACAAATGAATCATAACTTTTTTCAACAAAAAAAAAAATGAACCCAATAGTCCTCACAACAGCGCCTGCAAATGATCCATACTGTCCAATTACGCAGCCATGACACCTAGAATGTCCTATTGGTGCTCAAATTGAGCTGCTGTTATTAACCAATCATGCTTCCCCCCAAGGGAGTTTCGTTACAGTAGGTTTGATCTAATATGAGAATCAAAGCGCTGTAAATCTGTTACAAACCTCTTTGCTGGTAAATTAACACCAGCCGCTAAAGTTGAAGTGCAGGTCAGAAGACACAGCACCCCCTGACTGTAGCCATCCTCTATGAGTTTCCGTTCATCCATCGTCAGCCCACTATGGTGATAAGCAATTCCAAAAGGAATGGTCTTTTTCAGCACCGGACAGAGGTCTGAAGCTTCATTGTACAAAGCTTTCATTAGCTGAAGTCTCTCTTGACCTTTGACTTGGCACAATTTCCTAGTAACACATTAAAATTAACCCAAGCCAGTTAGATTCTTAACCATTTTACTCCAAAGATCTCATTGGTAAATCTCCTTATTGTCTACCATACAATTCTAATGAAGCTATTTCAGAGAATTTAGTATTGGATCATTTAGTTATTCCTTAACTATTGATCTGTTTCTTTTATTCTCATCACTTGTCCGCTTGGTGTAGTATTGATATTGTAAGGAGAAATTCTGTCTTGATCACTCATGGGGAGTCTAAGTCAAATGGTGAATCCTAGCTGACTTCTCAAGTCCTTCCACTTACTTGATCTATAAGCTAAATCTCCTAAACTGACCACACATTATTTTTTGTTGGTGGGGAGAGAGAATTTGAAGTTGTATGAAGACAATATCACAATATGATGAATTTGTGAGTTTTCATTACCTGTCTACTTGTCAGTGTTTAAAATTATAATGAGATATCATCAAATGATATTTCAGCAGAGAAAAGGGTCGAAAACGATTTCCAAGCAATTTTTAACTAAGAGTAAAAAATCTTGGAGCACTGTTCACAAATTGTTACCTGGGCATAAACTTGACAAGAAGCAATGCTAAGTTTTGACAGTTTTTCTTTGTAGAACAAAACACAAGACAGGAGTGATCTGGTATGACCTCCAAAACCAGGGATAACAACTGGTCTGGATCTTGCTTCAGTATCCTTAGGTCCTGGAAACACAAACAAAAATCTCAGTCCAGTAGACATCGAGTTAGTGAAACTACCTCATAAACTTTATGATACCGCCCACACTGAGGGAACTGCGGTATGGCTTACAAGCATAACTTTATCGTCCAGTCCTACTATCTAGGTGAGAGAAGACTGCGGAAAGGCTCCGGTCAGTAGTGGTGACGGACATTTTGATAACCCAAGCAGAAGTCATCATCAGAGTCATCGTTAATTTTCTTGACTTTGGTGATGACTGAAAGGTTGTTGAAACGTCACTTGCTAATCCCAATGACAGTCCTTGGGACTTCTCAGAACTTCTCTCACCGGGATGATTAGACAACACAATCAAATGCTAATGTGGCTTCATGTATTTATGTTCTGACCTGCTCGTAAGAGACTCTCCTGACTGGTTTGCTGCATTCTTCCTCTGGATCTGTAGCCTTAGGAACTTTATAAATGTCATGCCCCACTTTTACAAACTCCTTTAGCTCAACCTGAGCAAAGACATATCAATCAAAAACAAGCTCACCACATTTTATCTAGTTGGTATGCTTAATTCACAGTTTTCCAGACTACAAACTGCATTACTTGTCACGACAACATCTTGTTTATCTAATTTGTTTGCAAATGAAACTGAAATGAAACTGTCTACAATCGGGTGCGCAAACACTGAAGCGGAGTCTGATTGCAATGAATGAGCGAAAACATCATTGGCAGCCTAAAACAGAATATTTTCCTTCTGTCCGTCAACAGTCAGTAATCAATCATCAGAGGTAAGTTTAAGTTTCTAATAAGTCATGATGAGGACACCAAATTGTTACCATTCTGATACGTAATTCTAGAGAGCGCCGATTGCAATGATTAAATTGGGAAGCATGTTGGAGAGTCTTCGTTTCCTTATTTGCTTAATGATAAATGTGTTTCAATGCCTTGAATACATGACATTTTTCTTTTCCCTCTGACTCATCAAGAGCTCAAATCAAGCAAATCTATGGTCACAGCTTGCTAGTCTGTAAATCACCAGGGCGGTGCAACGTACGTGTGTCTAACACGTTAGATATTTTTGATTATGTAATTTTTTCGTTGTCGACCCGTCACTTTTTCGAATCGAAAAGTTCTTTGTTTTACACAACAATGTAACACAAAAGAAACTTACATCACTGAATAACAAAGACAAAAATGTCAAGCATGGTTTTTGACCATGCGCGCATAAAAATCTTATAAACACGTCCAACTTCCCTGCATCTGAGCGTATAAAATGCGTCTACGTTGTTGACATATGTGCAAGTGGCACTGAACCAAGAGCAGGCCAATAGCACCATGCAATAGAAATTCTTTCAATAACAGTTTAGTTATATCTAGTACTCACTGGTCTAAAATCATTTGCGTACTCCTCTGCTTTTAAAAATTTTGTCAAATCCTTGATGTTTCCTAAAGTAGCACTCATTCCAATGATTTGGGTGGTGGCTACAAAATGCAATATAATCAACATCAAAAGTTAATATTCAAATTATAACAGAGCTTAACAATAGCCTTAATATCAAATTATCTATAGTATAAAACAATTCTGGACGTTTCTGTTCTCCCTTGATGTCCAAATATTTGACCCCATGATCTTTACATAATTTAAATTTACATATATCATCTTGCAACATCTATAACAGACACATTTGCAGGCTACCCCCAATTCCCAGTAAACAGGCCAGACCACATCACAGTAATCTCGTGAGTGGGTCCTTTAACGTTCCCTGCCTATAACCAAATTAACTAATTAATAGATGTAGGAGACTGAACCTACAGTATATTCATCCTTATGTGAGAAGACTAGAATGTCTATCCATTACTTGATATTATAGAAAGTTAGCACATTCTCATTAGTTATTTTAAGACTATGAGTGTTGGTCCGGCCGGGGCTCAAACCCCCGACCTCCCCCACAACAGTGCGGTGCTCTAACCAATTGAGCTAATGGGGAGGAGGTGCTAACCAGGAGGCAGTGCAGTATAGAAAAAACCTTGAGTGTTGGTCCTGCTGGGGCTTGAACCCTCGACCTCCCATACAACAGTCCATTGCTCTAACCAATTGAGCTAACCAGGAGGCAGTGCTAACCGGGAGGCAGTGCAGCATAGAAAAAAGGTGAAAAAAAAAAAAGTCATTGTGCAGCACTAAAGAGAACTTACAAGAAACAAACATGAGCTTTGCCAAACACATCTCTAAAGTAGCACCTCTTCCAGCCTCCCCTAACATATGCAGCTTGACAGATAAGAAAAAAAATACCACATTGTTACTGGTTGACTCAAAACTTTCACTCATAATAGCATCTTAGGTGAAAAGCAAAATCATCTGTTTATCTGAATAATAAGGGGGTAAGTTTGTTATTGAGAAAATGAAGTGCTGTGTCAGGGGTATTAAAAGATAATTTGGTTTTTTCAACTGAGTTGATAATATAACTTGACCACCTGTAAAGAGTTTCTGAAGCAAAAGCTTCAAGCGTTAGCCCTTTGCCTCAGACCTAAACCCCCTTTACTAGCCCTTCGTCCTTTATTTAATATACATCTGCTCAAAACACAGTCAAGTATTCAGACAAGTCATCATACCTCATCAACTACAACTAGACCCAAGGTTGAAATTCTGCTTTCTTCAATCAGGCCATTTACAAGAGCATTCGCCTATATGGAAAAAGTAATTAGAATATGTTTGAATAACTTCTTCGAGACTTATTCTGCACAAGTTTTAGCTTAAAAATAATTCAGGCAGACTTCATAGTCTGAAGAGATTCTTAGGATAAACCTATGGTTGACATCTGATGGAAATAAAAATTCTCCTTGAGTTCCATAAGAAAAAAGGTGAAAATTTGGAAGGAGAATGTGATATTTATCCCACCACCCCTTCATGAATTACACTTTGCTGGAATTTACAAACCTTCTCTATCGTTGCAATATACACAGATTTTTTCTTGCGTCGTTTGCGGGGAGGGATCCTTCCTCGGCTGGCGGCATACTCCTCTACTAAGAAGCCAAGATCAACAGCAAATTGAGTCAGAGATTTTACCTGTTGATCAAAAATAAGAAAAAGTTTATTAAGAAAGACACAAAAAGAAAAGGTACAAACACCACCTCACACAGCAAATCAAATGTCTAATATCTTATAGCTGGCTCACTATGAGAGGGTTTCAGTATAGAGCTTGTATGGTTTCCAAAGCAGAGTTTCATCAAGGCACATCACATAATTACTCTAACAGCAACAAGGGTTTTAGTTTGTAGTATTTCAGTCTGCTTGTAGTTTGTAACTTCTAGTGTCTTTTTCTTTTATTGTTACTTTCTGGGCTCAATGTTAAGAGCCCAGACAGGAGATTTTAAAAGAGAAATAGCCTAAAAAATTGAACCCTTTGAGTTGGAGTATCCTTACCATACTCAAAACACAACTTTCCTTGTTCCTGAGGGAGTCAGGGTGCCTCCTAAGTCTACACATGTACTAGCCTACGTGTAGCTGTACCCTCTCACCCCAAGGAGAAATAGGGGAAGGGTACATTTACATGTAGGCTACACATGTACATATACATACATGTAAAAATCAAAATAAATCTTTTCAAATTGGGATCTTAATGTGGCAATTAAATCAAAAACAAAGATTTACCTTTTCCTGTACAATGGACACAAATGGGAGAACAAACAAGACATCTTTCTCTTGCGAAAGCAACTCTCTGAAAATAAGAATTTCCGCAACTAAAGTTTTGCCTCCACCTGTTGGAAGGGAATAAATCAAGTTTCTTCTCTCCTTAATAGCTTCCAGATTGAGGCAGTCTTTTTGCCAGTCTGCAATGGAAAAAAAAAGAATCAGTTTCTCTTAACACTCAAGATCTAAAAGTAGCTCTCCCTTTTAGCTTCCATATATTTCTTTGTAAATCATTAGAGAGGATTTGGTGTTCTATCAAAATGTCCTCCACCTGTTTGTTGGATGATGTATGAATTGCATTTATGGTTATTTTGTATTCCAATCATCATCATTATTATCATTTTTATTTTATCTTTAGTTTATTGTAATTATTATGCAGTAAATGGCTTGAACTCGGGGGTAACATGTGAAGGTGTAGTCTGATCGTCCGGGTGAGTGTAGTCCGAGAAGGACTGTTGTTGGTGGTAGTGACTGACGTTTCGACAACCTGTGCAAAACCAACCGATCATTTTACACTAACTGGAATAAGAACATTCTACTGACAACAATCATTGACTTGACTCTGATGATGACTTCTGCGCAGGTTGTCGAAATGTCAGTCACTACCACCAACAACAGTCCTTCTCAGGACTACACTCACCCGCACGATCAGATTACACCTTCACATGTAATTATTATGTTATGGTGCATTTGAATATATAAAAATTATTATATAGACTATTATTAAGATGTATAAACAACATAAGGAGAAATTGCATTTTGATCTTTTCATGAGAGTTTAGGAGGCAATAATAATGTTATTTGTATTGTGGAATTACAAATTCAATATAATATGTAACTCAGAAATACAGACAGAAGCTGGTCTACCAATTGAAAATAACTCAACCCTTTGACCACTATATTGAGTGATTCTACCTTATTTCTACTTAGAATTTCACCCCTGAATCAAACATTAAGGTCACGAGAATGAAGGAAATGATCAACTACAGAAACTCTCTGTTATTAAAAAAATTCTCCCGGTAAGCACCTTAGGAAATGTATTGGAGAATTAACAGAATGGATAATATGGCTACTCATGGGTATAAAAGGTCAAGTTAAACTAACTTACCATACAAACTATCAATTCCTTTGTACTTCTGTAACAACTCTTTGACTTTGTGAGGCAAGCCGTAAAACTGCTTTTTTTCCCCTTCTAATAAACTTGCACAGTTACCTCGTGCAGGGTTCAAGGCAGCTGAAGAAGTGATAATTTCACTTAAATTCAAAGCAGCTAAAACACCGTCATCGTCGTAAAAACTGGAATTGTTGATAATACTTTTGATTCCAAATGGTGAGCTAACACATGTTACATTAGTTTGTTCATGCTTGTGAAACCTTGCCGAACGTTGGGCTTTGCAATCCTGCGAGTCATTCCCCGTCCTGTTTGGAGTGCTGCAGTAGCGGTTTTCCTCTTCTGCAACTTTTAATTCTGTTAAGGGTTTCTCGCGTTTTCGCACCGGTTGATCGTCCTCCATTGAAGTTTCGGACTTTTTTCGAACTCCTACCATTTCACTCTTGCTACAGCTGCCATTTAAACTCCTTCGCTTCGAGCGTCTGCTTCTCCTTGCATCGAGGGTAGAAGTTTCATTAACTTCATTGTCTTTTGTCGTGAACTCTTCACTACTTTGCATGAAGTTTATCTTTTCCACAGCGAGCACATCTTTGCACAACCGTTTCTTGTCATTGCTTGAAGCACAGTGTGCTGCTCTTTTGATTGTATTCATCTATTCTAATACCCATCATTTGAAATTATTTAAACCTGACGCGCGCTAAGCATAGCAATCTTTGTACCCGCTGAGAGCCTGGCACGAATCTATCCAAATGACACACCAGCGGCACCGTAAATGTAAAATATGGATTGTGGAACAGAAGATCACAGACGACGCAAAACGATTACGACTATGCTGAGAGCATCCTACCAAAAGCATTAACCTTGGTTGTATGCAATTATAAGAGGAACCGTTCTTTGACCAACACGCTCCATGCATTTCTGCCCTCATGAAACCACTTTAATTTACATTACGAATTATAAAAATAGACCTGATGACAAATTACACACTCATAGACACTCTACATTGTTTTTTTTCCCATATTCCACCCTACTCTTTTTTTTCTTTATTTATTAGGGTTTTCTGTTGTTGTCCACTTATCTGTTTGTAAACGGCCCCAAATCTACTTCAGACTACATTTGTTAAGCACCATGAGGAAATAGTAACTCTGAAATTGTCAGAGAGAAAATACTCTCGATTCAACAGGCTTTGCTGCGCTCCTGGTAATTTCTCCTCACATTGTTCGTTGCACTCTGGTTTTTTTTTCCCTTTTTTTCGTGAGGGGGAAACCTATAATTTGCTCAGTTAGTCAACTATATAATGAGAAAGGTTCTGATGAATGTATTTATGTTTTTTGTAACCTTTGAAGCTCAAAGACTTTTGGAAGCAATTGCTCCAGAAATGTATAAAGCACTTACAGCTATTTTTTGTGAAGCATATTAGTTTGAGGAGTCCTAGCTTATTTAATGATATCTAAGAATCATTGCCTTGAATTCTTCAATGTTTGTTGGTCATTGCTATCACAAATTCAAAGACTTGTGGTGTCTAGCCTTATGATTGCCCTGTGTTGGTAATCCAAAGTCAACAGGCAGCCCATGATCAAGCTAGAAAGCCTTCTCTTAAACTCTCTTCATTATTTCTAGACAGTTCTCTTGATGTTGACCACAACTGGCTATCTCAGCTCATTTGCGATACATCCCAGTGACTAGGGTCATGGAAGTACCTCATCCAGGCTTTCCTGGTTTTCTAAATTTAGCTTGTACAAATATCCTTGGAACATCAACTCCTTCTTTTTTATTAACTGTCCTCCTGTGAGCATAATCACTGACTAATGTTTCAAATCCAGCCTGGTGGAAAAGCTTCTCAACCAAATCTGTGAAAGCAACACAAGGGAAAAAAAAAACATTGTGACAAGGAAATAAACTTTCTCAATAATTCTTACTATAAAAAGGTTACCAACCATAGAAGTTCTAGTAAGCCCCTTCCTCTAAAGAGACCTCTCTCTGAGGGTTCCCTTCTCTATCAATTCCTCCCTCACTTATACACCTGCCTCTTTATCAAGCCCCCTCTCTAATTACTCCGCTACTCTAGAAATTCAAGTTTCAAATAGGCCTTCCTTCTCTAAATGAGCATCTTCTTTATTGAGCTATGTTCTATATTATTGGAAAACTCAGTACCTAGCAAGGGAATTCCAGGTAAAATTGCATGTGAAAACTGATATTGTACCTCCCCTTCTCTATCAAGTCTCTCTGTCTAACACATCTCCCTCTCCAATAAGCCCCCTTTCCACAAAGTACCGCTCTCTATTAAATCCCCATTCTTTACAAAACCTCCCTCTCTAATAAGCCCCCTCTCTAATAAGTCCCCCTCTCTATTTTGCCTCTCTGTCTAAAACATCTCCCTTTCTAATAAGCCCCCCATCTAAGAAGTACCCCTCTCCATTATATCCCCTTCTCTATAAAACCTCCCTTTTTGATAAGCCCCTATCTAATAAGTCTCCCTATCTAATAAGTCCCCCTCTCTATCAAGTCCCCTTCTCTATTTTGCATCTCTAAAACATCTCCCTCTCTGATAAGCCCCCTACCTAAGGAGCACCCCTCTCTATTAAATCCCCTTCTCTAGAACTCCTCCCCCTCTGATAAGCACCCTGTCTAAGACGTCCCCCTCTCTATCGAGTTCCCTTCTCTATTTTGTCTCTCTTTCTAGAACTCCTCCCCCTCTAATAAGCCCCCTGCCTAAGAAGTTCCCCTCTCAGTCAAGTTCCCTTCTCTATTTAGTCCCTCTTTCTAGAACATCTCCCCCTCTGATAAGCCCCCTGTCTAAGAAGTCACCCTCTCTATCAAGTTCCCTTCTCTATTTTGCCTCTCTTTCTAGAACATCTTCCCCTCTAATAAGCCCCCTGTCTAAGAAGTCCCCCTCTCTATCAAGTTCCCTTCTCTATTTTGCCTCTCTTTCTAGAACATCTTCCCCTCTAATAAGCCCCCTGTCTAAGAAGTCCCCCTCTCTATCAAGTTCCCTTCTCTATTTTGCCTCTCTTTCTAGACCATCTCCCCCTCTAATAAGCCCCCTATCTAAGAAGTCCCCCTCTTTATCAAGTTCCCCTCTCTATTTTGCCTCTCTTTCTAGAACATCTCCCCCTCTAATAAGCCCCCTGTCTAACTAAGTCCCCCTCTCTATCAAGTTCCCTTCTCTATTTTGCCTCTCTTTCTAGAACTCCTCCCCCTCTAATAAGCCCCCTGTCTAAGAAGTCCCCCTCTCTACGAAGTTGGCTTCTCTATTTTGCCTCTCTTTCTAGAAGATCTCCCTCTCTGATAAGCCCCTTGTCTAAGAAGTCCCCCTCTCTATCAAGTTCCTTTCTCTATTCAGTCTCTCTGTCCAAAACATCCACCTCTCTGACAAACCCCCTCTCCATTGAGCCCCCTCTCTAATAAGCCCCCTTCTCTAATAAGTCCCCCTCTCTAATAAGCCCCCTCTCCAATAAGCTCCCCTTGCTGCAATGCCCCCTTCTCCTTCAGTTATCGACAAGTTGTCATAGAGGAAACACAAGCGAAACAGAATTTTCTTTTAGAAATAAAAGTAAGAGGGACAACAAATAAAATTTGAATTTAGGAAAAGGACAAGGATGATAAGAGGACTTCAACTTACCTTTTGAAAAATAATAAGCTCTGGTGCCATCTTGTCTGACATAAAAGTTAACTGACAGCTTGTTAGCAGGACTAAATCTTAACATGGCGTGGTCGTATAACCCATAATCACGAAAGAACAGCAATCCACCTGGCTTGAGAACCTTGTTTGGATGAAAAAAATATTAAATAATGGTAAAAATTAATGTTCTATTGTGTCGAAGTTTACTGTGTGTGTGTTGTCCTTACCAAGCTGCAACAGAAAAAACTTAAGAAGATCAAGCCAGGCCTTTTTCATTTTGTCCGTTTAGTTATTAAAGTTACTGTCACCTCAGAAACAAGTAGACAGTAAACATACAAGCCACCGGTGCTGCAGGAGAACACTCATATGACCCTGGTAAAACTAGTTTGATGTCATAAAACTAACTGTTTACTTTGTGGGTGACCTATGAGAAGAATGTTTGATAAATTAATGAGAGCAATCACTAAAGTTTACTTTTTTACCTGTATTATATTATGAAGAACAGTCAACATTTTATCTGGATGGACAGCAGACAGGACAAACACCAAAGTTGCAATGTCCACACTACATTTTAACACATGGGACTCCAAAGCATCCACTGTTAGGTCACAATGGAAGGCATTTACTTTTTCTTCACTAAATGTGGGATGTTCCTTGACAAAAGTCAAACAAAATTTCTTGACAACAGTACATGAGAAGGGATGATAAGGGGTTATCAAATCCAGGGCTCAACACTAACTTTTCAACTTACTAGCCAAGTGGCTAGTGACATTTTATATGTTACCACAATTTCAGTTTGTTTACTAGCCAAACTGGCCGGTGGAAATAAAAAACCACTAACAAAGCTGAATTTCTACTGGTCTGTGGCTTGTAGGCTACTGTTAGTGTCACGCCCTGAAATCTGTCAATCAGTGTTATTTTTTGGTGCAATCCATCAAGGCAACGTTATTTGGGTTGAATCTGAATTACCAGACATTCCAAGCTATGATTGTACGGCACAAGTAAATATATGCTCATTGGTACAATGGAGGAACAATAAACCTTTTCCCTCTGCCATCAATGGAGTGTAAACCATTAGAATTCTAAAGAGTACACTAACCATTCCCACATTGTCATCAAATTTGCTAAAAATTCTTACCTTCACAAAATCAATGGCTCTTTTTGAAAAATCACATGCATGAATGAAGAGATTTGGGATTTCCTCAAGTAATGGGTAGAACAGATTTCCAACTCCACATCCAGCCTCCAATAAAACTTTGCTTGTATCAATATCTGACTTGAGTTCAATAAAGAAAAATTCCTTTCAGATTTGGAAAGCCACCATAGCTTCTCATGGATCAACCAATGACTTTCTCTTACAGGGCTCGACATTAATGGTAGCCACAGACTAATAGAAATTCAGTTTTGGCTAGTGGTTTTCAATTTCTATGAGCCAGTTTGGCTAGTAAACAAACTGAAATTCTTGTTAGTAACATCTAAGACAACACTAGACACTTGGCTAGTAAATTGAAAAGTTTGTGTCGAGCCCTGTCTAATCAATCTCATACAGCCTACCCCTAGTATGGGTTAACCAAAATAACTGATGCTACTTAAACTTGGCCTGCACCAACCTCTTAGTGAGAGGTGAGGAGTAAATGTTAATGAGTGGGGGGGGGTGGAATAGTAGGGTCATTTTGCAAGATGAATGAGAGAAGACTGTTATAATTCCCTATTTAATTCTCCCAATTTTTTTTTCATTCATCCCCACGTGACCTGTGCCATCTGAAAACAAAAAACAAAAAAAAACAAGCATATTCTTCTTTGAATTGAATCAGATTTCCCTCTCCCTGTAGATGCAAGTTTTAAATGGATGATGACAGTTATCTACAATAGTATTTATATTCCCTAACAAAGATTTGTGATTGGTCAAAAAAATTCTCCACACTCTTGCAGAGTGAGATTCAAAATCAACACCAGCCATGCTTGGTGAACTTACTAATTCTGCATTTTATTTGTTCTTACTTTGAGTCCTCATTGCTTCCTTATGGACCCTTGTGACATTTTCCTTTATTGTGATTGGCTATTGTGCTTTATTTGGTTCCTCTATTGTGATTGGCTGTTGGGATTTGTGCTTTCTTTGGTTCCTCTATTGTGATTGGCTGTTGTGATTACTTTGGTTCCTTTGTTGTGATTGGCTGACATGGTTTCTTAGGTTTGGCTTTAACAGCACTCATTCTACATTCCCTCTATTCCACCACAAATAGATACAACCCTTATCGTATTTTTTTTAATTTAGCATAACGTTCTTACCTCACTATTTCTACCGTCAAATAACAGCTCTTTAAATTCTGCAGTGGTCCAGTGTCTGTCTTTGAAAAAGTTTGTGGCGTTTCTCTTATAAAATAAATCCCAATTTTTTTGGGCTTCTTTTTCTAGCTTATTCTGCTTAAATTCTGACACGATCTTGCTATCGTCATCAAGTTTTTTCTTCTCGTCTTCTGTAAGGACACGAAAATTAATAACTTCGTCCGCCATTACTAATGTTAACAACCGCTGACTGACGTAAGTATTTCCCATAAGGGTTTGCGAAACGGAAGTTAGTATCCCATAATCCACCACTTACATGCAAGGGATCGCGCTACGAAAGTCAACATGTCGGAGGAAAATAAGGTAATTTGACTGAACGAGAATTCTTTCTACATTTTACAAGTTATTTAAATCCTAGGGAATTTATATAAAATTTTTTTCTCTTAGGAGGTAAAGCCCGAATCGGAACACATCAACCTGAAAGTGATGGGTCAGGTAAGCCGCCACTGATTTCGTTGTTCTGGTGTTCAGCGTGGAACCGCGGTGCTAGTTTATACCCTCGAAAGAAAATGACGTTGAAAACCTTCCTCAAGGAAGATGATTTTTCTCATATTATTGGTGGCTCGGGATAGGTTTGGGTTCAACTATCACGGTATTGATTGCAAATTGAGACTACACCGTCGATCTAAGTACATAAAAAACTCTAGTGAGAACAAGGAATTTGAAATCTACTTTAACTTCCTACACTACGGCTGTTACACTTTCGAAATCCTTCCCATTTTACCAGAAAAATGGCGCGTTTTTCGATATTCGAAACCGTTATGATTTGGTTTCCTGGAACGGTACCGATGTCCCGTGCTGTTTTGTTGATAACTGTGATTTGTGTATATTGTGTTCTGTGGCGGGAAACGCAACACACGTGCTTGTGTCGATTCGTAAAAGGCCACTCTGATGTTCCTTTCGTTGCAACTCTTTCACTCGACGAGCTTGTCTTTTTGCTACACAGGACAACACAGAAGTACATTTTAAGATCAAGAAAACCACCCAACTAAAAAAACTCAAGCAAGCATACTGCGATCGCCAGGTTTGACAGTCTCGAATCAAACATTCTCGCTATTGTGCTTGTGCTTAGTCATTTATGTGCCTACGTTGGTTGTCATATTTCCACGCTGTTGTCGTAAATTTAGATTGATGATCATTTCCTTTACTCTCATGAACTTTACATTTAATAAGGGGGTGACACTGTGGGGAGATATAAGAAGGGTTGATTCATGTATTTTTGTAAACGTAAACAAAGGTAGCTTTTACAAAAACGTAGATTTCTCAAATTAAAAACTATAACTACAAACAGTAAAGAACAGTAGAGGGAGGTGCAAGTTTCTCGACTGATCAGAGCAATTGTAGACCAAAATTCCTGTGTCATGTTTGACACTAAATTGAACTTTCCTCTTTTTGTAATTACTTCATACTTCTCTTAACCAGAAAAATGAACATATCATCATTAAAATGTGCTGTTCTTAATAGGAAGGCCTGTAATAAATACAAATTTACCATAAAGAAATCTACAGTCAAACTTTGATTATAAATAAACCTATCAGCATTGAAAAATGATGGTCTTACAGGAAAGCTTGTAATAAAGTTTAAAACCCAGATGCACTATCAAGAAATATAGGGTCAAACCTTGATTTTTGGGATATGTAAGGACTGCACTGATTAGTTTGGATAATGGAAAATAAATGGCCCGACAATAAAACTAAATACGTATCATTTAAATCTTACCAACATCATTTGACATCAAACCAAAATACTGAGGTAAATCAGTTTGTTTCAAGCTGGTAAAGTTTGTGCATCACTACTTCTGTAATTCTTGGAAGCTGCATTAGCAAAATAGTGACAACATTGCTTTGTCTTTGCATCTATGTTAAACGCTTCCTAAAAGATTCACCAGCTTTGGAAAGTGGAACAAATTCAGTTCCAACTGGACTTTCTCTATGCCTGCTTTGTTTGATGGAAAATAGTTGTTATGGATCTTTTAGTTATGTTCTGTTTGTCTGTTTGTGTGAGAGCCTGAACAAACCGATTTAAAATTGGTGATATTGTAATCGCCCTTGCCAAGATGCCCTTGAGGAAAAAATGAAAAATAATGGATCTCAAATTTGATTCATTAATATTCATTCAAAAAATGTGATCAGAGATGCAAGTCCAGATAATGAAAAATCAGGATAACCAAGGTCCAGATAATTGCAGTTTGACTGTATCTGTTAAAAGTTTAAACTTATACATTTTCAAAGATATGATCACACTGAGACAATAACAGTTTCTTAGTATTTAGCCAGCAAATGGTACATGTATTGTGAATTCATGCTAAGGGATTTGTTGTCTTCTTTTTTCAGGGCGTACCTCTTAATTCACTTCGGTTTCTTTTCGATGGCCAGAGAATAAACGATGATCAAACTCCAAAAGATGTAAGTATTAGAAAACATTTTAAAGATGGTTTTGAAGATCAGATCTCTCCATAAAAAATAGCTGAAGTTACATTTCCCTCCATGACATGGCTATCACCCTTTTCAAAATTGAAGGTTGCTCACCATTTGACACCCAAATATATTTTAGCTCAGAGAAACCCAATTTTGGTACTGGATATGGATTGATGAAAATTTAATCATGAAATAACATCAAACTATGCTATTAATTAAGGTTTTGGCTAATTTTGCTATAAGACATTTTCATTGCATTGTTTTCTCTACATATATTTTTGGTAGAAGATTGATTGTTTTTGTAGAGAAAGTCCAACAAGTGTGGTGACTCCTGACTTAAATTCACTACTCTTGTGATCAACATGTGATGTTTTTCTCCTATTACAGTGATTAATTTTTTTTTGCAGCTCGAAATGGAAGACGACGATGTAATCGAAGTTTACCAGGAACAGACGGGAGGGCGATGAATTTTATCCAAAGCTTAACAGTAACATCCATATAAGTTTGTTTTGTTCTCCTGCAGCTCAAAGGATATCATATTTCGACTTTTGTTCAATAGACAGGGTTCATTCTGAATAACCAAAAGGTTGCTTTTTATGAATGGGACTTTATGCATAAACCAGCATTTTATATGTCAACCACTAATATGCATAAGGGACTTGTTCTGATTAGTTTTGTTTCTTTTTGTTGTGAATAGTTTCAGACATTTTTTCCACTTCCATTTATTTAGAATTGTCCTTTTATAATTTGTTAGTTAAGTGTGCAGTGCGTCTTTATAAAATCAACAGCTTAGAATCATTAAAGTTGTTCTTTCAATTATGTTTTGCTCTCTCTCATGGGAACAGATTCCCAAAGTAGAGGAAATCACATGAACACAAGTGTGTCATGATTTGACCCTTAACCCATTAATAGCTGCAGCTTTTGTGAAAAACTGTGTTTTGAAGCTAGGCAAGCAGATTTTGGGTCACTGTTGTGGTTTTAAGAGCTCAAACTTACCACTAACTCATTCATAGCTTGTACACTCGAAGGCCTTTCAATCCAAATGCAAAATGGCAGCCTGAAAATCTCGGGCAGGCGCTTAAAGCAAAATTTCGAGATAGTWTTTGGGTTGAAAAGTAATGCCCCACTTACGACTTTTACTTTTCTCTCTTTCTCCTGCCCTTTTTTTCCCCTTTCCTTGCCTGAAGTTTCTCCTCACTTGCTGGAAATTTAGTAGGCTTCATTTTGGTGTAGAGATTTTTTAGGAAACTACTCATTATTTTCAAACCATATGCACAGAAAGGTAGGTGGGTAATGTAACAAGATTTTCGTACAGATTTTCAGGTCAAAGTTACATGGTTTTTTGGCTATTTCTCCAATCTCCTTCACTCAATTGCGCTCATTCTGGTATCGTTAGTAAGATATTTTCAACCTGTTGAAGTACGTGCTCAAAGTCGTGCTCCAGGGTTAAAAGTGATGACGTCACAAGGAGTAGAAAGGGTGTGGTTCCACATGGGCGCTTACGGGTGCACTGGTCAATATGTTAAAACCCCTTTTAATTCCTCCATGAAATAGTAATGCTGAATCATTCTTGAAGTTCTTGAGGATAAAGGAAATGATTGCCAACCCAAGGTTACCTGCTTTGCCGCTTGCATGATTTCTGCCCCATGCTGCTTCTTTGTGTGTGACTGCTTGCATATGTGGTCTGGCAATCTGTCATGGCCATGTCACTTAAGTCATACGAATGTTCACCGCTATCCCAGCATTTCCATTTGGCAAGCCCAGTTATCAGCTTAACATATAATCAGTGCAATGAAATATATGAGGTTCATGTATTTTGAACTGCGGTATTAGATACGTATGATGCACGATCCTCGCAGTAGATAGCGATATTTAAGCAATAGCGAAAATCAGACCTGAAAAAAAATCAGGCCTGTATGGGATTCGAACCACTGACCCCTGCGATACTAGTGCAGCGCTCTACCAATTGAGCTAACAAGCCAACTGGGAGCAGGCCGTTAAGTTGATTCGTAATAAACCCGTGAAAGTGATAAAT